CCCACCCCCTGGTGGGCTGAGCTGGCCACACACATACACACACACAAAAATAAGGAAATAAATAAACAAAAAAAATTCATGTTACAGGGTCTCTTTATTATATTGTAGATATTAGCTCTCTGCCCAAGGAATAGATCTGGCAAAATTCTTTTCCCATTCTGTAGATTATCTCTTTATTCTGTTGGATGTTTTCTCTGTCATACAGAAAGCTATGCGTTGTATTCCTGTCATCACTTGTTATATTTTTCTTTTTTATGTCTGTTCTATTTTTTTTTGGTGGAACCAGGGATTGAACAAAATATTGATGTCTATTCTATTTTTTTTTTTTTTTTTTTTTTTTAAGGCAGGATCTTGGCTCAGATCCTGGCAGCTGGGACTCATAGTGATCCTCCTGTTTGCAGTCTCCCTAGCGCTGGGATTACCGGAATGCACCACCATGCCCAGTCTCCGTGGTAGGCTCAGTGTCCAGGAGTGGAGCCAGTACAGTATGTGGTACTGGGGATTGAACCCTGGTCCCTGTGCTTGCCTAAGCAGAAACTTAAGTCTGCTGAGCTATCTCACTTGCCCTTTAACTTTCATTTTTTTTAAAAAATTTTATTTATTTATGTGTGTGTGTGTGTGTGTGTGTGTGTGTGTGTGTGTCCAGCTCAGCCCACCAGGGGGCGTAGCTGGCTGGCATGTGGTGCTGGGGGATTGAACCGTGGTCCCTGTGCTTTGCCAAGCTTGTTTCAAGTAGGTGCTTTAGACCACTGAGCCATCTCACCAACCCCTAACTTTCATTTCTTAATAGTTTCAAGCATACAGTTTATTTTGAGGTACAAGTCTCTGTTTCTTAGGCTGACCTTAAATTCCTGTCTTCAGGTGGTCCTCCTGCCTCAGCCTTCCCAGGAGCCAGGACTACAGGCTTGTGCCACTGCATCTGGTTAACAAGTTTTAAAATTGATGAAGTTCTACATGTTTTTCTTTTATAATCTTCACTTTCTGCAATGTTGGGGATTAAACTCAAGGTTGGGTGCATGCTAGGCATATGCTTTACCCATGACTGTATATCCCTAGATATATATATATTTTTTTTAATAACCGGGACTTGAACTCAGACCCTTGCACTTGCCAGGGAAGCACTTATTATTTTTTTTTAATTTTTTTTTTAATTTTAACATTTATTGTGTGTGTGTGTGTGTGTGTGTGTGTGTGGCCAGCTCAGCCCACCAGGGGGCGCGGCTGGCTGGCATGTGGTGCTGAGAGATTGAACCACCGTCCCTGTGCTTTGCCAAGCTTGTTCCAAGTAGGTGCTTTAGACCACTGAGCCATCTCTCCAGCCCGAAGCACTTATTCTACTGAGCCATCTCCCTGGCTCATTTGTGTATTTTGATACAGGGTCTCACGCCACAGATTGTGATCAAGTTTTTTTTTTTTTTTTTTTTTTTTTTTTTGGTGGAACTGGGGATTGAACTCAGGCCCTTGTGCTTGCTAGGGCAGCGCTTATTCCACTGAGCCATCTTCTTGGCCCTCACTCCACAGATTGGATGATCCTCCTGTTTTCAGCCTCCAGTACTGGGATTATAGGCATGCACCACCACACCCAGACCCTGTTGCCGGCTTGGTATGCCCTGAGGGTGGGCTGGGCATGGCCAGACTGTTTTTTATTATTATTATTATTTTTTTTGGTGGAACTGGGGATTGAACTCAGGTCCTTGTGCTTGCCAGGGAAGCGCTTATTCCACTGAGCCATCTCCCTAGCCCGTTTTTTGCCTTTTTGAGACAGGGTCTCACCATGCAGTTGTCTGGCCTTGAGCTCACTTTGCAGTCCAGGCTGATCTTGAACTGGCATGCACAAGGACCTGAGTTTGATCCCCAGTACCACATGCCATGTTGACCCTGGGCATACAGTTTAGGCCACTGAAACTGGGTGTGGTGACACATGCCTGTAATCCCAGTGCTGGGGAGGCTGAGAGAGGAGATTTCTGTGAGTCCGAGCTGTGTGTTGAGACCATATGCCAAATAAATAAAAGATAAAAATAGTATCGCTGAGACATTAAAAAACAGTATGTTAGGGCCGGGGAGATGGCTCAGTAGAATAGGTGCTTCCCTGGCAAAAACAACAAAAAAAATGTGTCAAACCTGTGGATAATTTGAAACCAAATGTAGTGAATATGGTAAATTCATAAACAGGGAAGTGCTTTTTCTTTTCTTTTTGCAGAACCAGGGATTGAACTCAGGCCCTTGCACTTGCCAGGGAAGTGCTTATTCCACTAAGCCATCTCCCCGGCCAGTAAATTCATAAAGTAAAATATTTTAAAATCTGTAGGATCTGTAGTGATTTTTTTCTTTTATTCCTGATATGGAGACTGTGATCAGTCTTTTTCAAACAGGCAAGTTTTGATTTCGTTTAATTTTCTCAATTGTTTTTCCATTTGTGATTTCATTTTTAGTTCCTATCTCCATTTTTTTCTCTCCTTGGTTTCTGCTAAATGTGCTCTTTAAAATTTTTTTAAAAGTTCTTTAAAGTGAGTTTAGACTTGAGTCCTTTCTTACCTAAAATAAGCATATGTAGGTGGCATATACTGTTCCTCATTTTTTTTGGCGGTACCAGCGATCGAACTCAGGACCTTGTGCTTCCCAGGCAAGCACTTATTCGAGCTATTCCTCCTCACCACTTTTTTTGAGGAAAAATTGCCTAGGCTGGTCTCAAAACTCCTTGGCTCCTGTGGTCCTCCTACTTGCACCTCCAAAGTAGCTGGGACTACAGGTGTGCACTACCACAACCAGCTTCTCTCTAGGATCTCACTTACGGATGATCTTTCTTGCTATTGTTTTACAAATGTAAAAAATACTTCCCCAGAATTTTAATGCTATCTGGAGAAAAATAACAAAAATCGTTACTTTTTCTGCTTTAGTTTTTCAAGCTTTGATATGGTTTCTGTAGCCTTTGCCAATTAATTTCCACATGCCCCCATGCCAGCCTTTCCTAGCTCTATCTGGAGCTTAACTGCTAGTGTCACCTCTCAGAACCACTGTTCAGTGCCAGTTTTACTGGTACCTGCCTTGGGCATATTGCTTTGGACCTTCCTTGGCCTTCAGTGTGGAGGTACCCAATGAACTGGCTACATTCAGGAAAAGTAACTATGTTCCCAAAGGGCTACCTGGGGCAGAGGTGTGTGTGTATACAGGATTTCTGTTATAACATTGTATGGGGTCTATAATAGGAGTAACTTCTCCAGTTCCTTATTGTGTAGCCACAAACTAACATACATTTGGCATTAAACACAGGAGATTTTGATGTTGATTGTGTCTCCAACCTTGACCCCTCCCAGCCTAAAATGGATATAATACAGAATCAGAGTTTAGGGCAGGCTGCTCAGGATTAAAGAAGCTATGAAAAACACTAGGCACACCATTTGAAGAGAAACAAGTATTCCAATTTTGCACAAAATGTGAACAAAGGAAAACATGCTCTACCTGGACAAATAAAATATAAAGTTTTGCAGTTAAAAATGCTAGGTGAATATGTATTTCTAATGACACTGGCTGAACTGAAATGTAGCTGTTTCACTGTAGCATGTGAGGGACCAGAACACCCCACCAACTGTAGCGTAATTAAGTGCTTGGTGCTTTGAATGAACAAATGACTTTTCAGTGAGGGCATGTCTGACTGACTCTTATCTTTCTCCTTTGAAGAACAGAAAGGTAAGAGATATGCTAGAAACAGGAATTCTTCACAGCACTAGATTGTGTCACGAGTCAGGGTCCTTCCTGTGCACACGCTGGTGGATGTGCAGGTTGGAGCTCTGGCTGAAGCCCCTGCCGCACTTGCTGCACTCATAGGGCTTCTCCCCAGTGTGCACGCGCTGGTGGATGAGGAGCTTGGAGCTCTGGCTGAAGCCCTTGCCACACTTGCCACAGTGGTAGGGCTTTTCCCCAGTGTGTACCCGGAAGTGGATGCGGAGATCCGAGCTCTGGCTGAAACCCTTGCCACACTCGTAGCACTGGTAGGGCTTCTCACCAGTGTGGATGCACCGGTGGATGTGCAGGTTGGAGCTCTGGCTGAAGCCCTTGCCGCATTCCCCGCACTTGTAGGGCCTCTCCCCAGTGTGCACACGCTGGTGGATGTGCAGGTTGGAGCGCTGGCTGAAGCTCATGCCGCACTCCCCGCACTCATAGGGCTTCTCCCCTGTGTGCACACGCTGGTGGATGTGCAGCTTGGAGCTCTGGCTGAAGCCCTTGCCACACTTGTCACACTTATATGGCTTTTCGCCAGTATGGACTGCATGGTGGATAAGCAGGCTGGAGCTCCTGGTGAAGCCCTTGCCGCATTTATCACACTTGTAGGGCTTCTCGTCAGTGTGGATGGCCTGATGGACGAGCAGGCTGGAGCTCCTGGTGAAGCCCTTGCCGCACTGTGTACACATGTAGAGCTTCTCTTCTATGTGGCATCTCTGGTGCAGCAGGAGCTCTGACCTCTGACTGAAGCCTTTTCTGCACTGGTCACATTTGTGCGGCTTTTCTGCAGAATGGTGCTTCCCATAGGGACCAGCATCTGGGCTGGTGCGCAGCGACTTCCCACAGTCACCACAGTGACAGGACTTCTGCTCTGGGTGAGCTCTCTGGTGGCTGTAGCTGACCAATCCTGACTTGCATTTTGAAGTGTCTTTCTGATTGTGGACAAGGGGATCTGAAGATTCCTTCACTGGGCTACTTTCGAAAGTGGCTTCACCACCCAGTGGCAGCACTGGCTCTGTTCTGTCGGATGGAAGTTTAATTTGCAGGTTTTCAGAACCCTGGGCCATGGGAGGCCTCTTCTCCCTCACCACCTGCCTCTCAGTACTCTCTTCAGGTGCAGGGACACCTCTGCTTTCCCAAGGTTCCTGGGGCTTATTCTTACACAGCTTCCTAGGGGAGTCTTGTGTGGCCATCTAGCTTGGGTCTGCCAAAGACTGGTTGTTTTCACTTTTAGTGTTTGAAAAGTCACTGAAGAATCACCACACTGTTCTTGTTTGTGGAATATGACAAGATGTTTCTCTTCACTTCTTGCAGGGATTGTGCTCTTTGCCTGAAGAGTCACAGTACAGTTCCCACTCCCAGTTGCTAACTCCCCATGTCCCCTGAAATCAGCTGCAGGAAACCTGTGTATGTGACAGGTCCCAGAGCTCTTTGTCCCAAAGTTTCCACAGGATTCTGTTTCAAGTCTCCTAAGAAACAAAGAAAATTCAGTGAGAAGAACAGAGGATGGATTTTAAGATTTCAGAACAGAAAGTTAGGTTGTTGTTACAACATGACTGTTTTAACAGTCATGTCCTTTGTGTTAATGTCAGAAGGAAGAAGACCCAGGTTCAAAGACACATGATCAGCTGGGGATATAGCTCAGTGGCAATAGTGCTTGCCTGGCAATTGCAAGGTCCTGAGTTTGATTCCTGGTACCAAAAAGCAAAACAAATAAATTAAAAAACCCCCCCAAAACTCAGAACAAAACCAAACGAAAAACAAAACAAAAAAGACACATGATCCCACTCCACCTTTAACCAGAGCCACTGAAATACTCCTTTCCTAATCCTGCAGCAGGCTGTGAATCCTACAACCTTGACACCAGGGCTAAGTGCAGAGGCATCCTTCAGCAGTGGCCCTCCCTGGATTCTGAGCTGCTCTTGAGGCCTGGTTACAGAGACATCCTCTAAAGTGACACACATGCTCCAAAGGTGTCAGCCACTAGTTAAGGAAACCCAATCCCTCATCGTCCTGGCAATGATGGACTTTTGGAGAAACTCCAAGGTGACAATTAAAAATATATGTGAAAAAAAGGGGTAGAGGATTGATGAGTGGCACAATTTTAAGAAATAAAAAAATAGGGGCCTGGGGAGATGGCTCAGTGGAATATGTGCTTTCCTGGCCAAGTGCAAGGGCCTGAGTTCCATCTCCAGTTCTGGAAAAAAACAAAAACAAAAAAAAAACACCTTTAAGATTCAAATAAAATCCTAGAAAAACTGGAGAGAATAATGCATTTAAATAAAATCTAATAAAATACAGACCCACTGCTACAAAAATAATCATAATTCTTAGTGATTAAAATGATTAAATTAATAGATAAGATGTGGACCCCAAGTGATACGTGCCACTGGAGAGCAAGGCCTCCTCTGTTCCTGAGGCACCAAAGCTGATTGGGCTACCAGGTCTAGTCCAGGGCTGCAACCCATACACCTGGGAGGTGAAGTGCAAACAGCAAGTTAGGGCCCTGGGATTCCTCTACAGCACAGCTTTAAAAGTAGACATGGAAAGATGGAAGACAAAGGCCCATTTCCTAGGAGAATGCTGCAATAGGGAAGGTCAAATAAGAAAAAATGATCAAAGAAATAACAACTGTCTCCCACAACTCAGGACATAGGGCCCACTGAGTGCTTAAACCAATGTGTGAAAAGACCCATGAGTAAGCACAGCTTTGTAAAGTATGTATACTTCAAGAAAAACAAAGCAAAAAAACTAAAAAAAAAAACAAAAAACAAAAAACCAAAACCAGAAACAAAACAACTGCTACCTCATAGAATACTAAGTGCATTCAGACAGGAAGACAGAATATGTACAATTAAATGTGAATTACAGAGACAATGAACTCCTAGATGACAATGTGGGAGACCTGATGATAATACAAATTATATTTGCAAATTTGAGGAAAAGTGATTGTAAAATTAGGATTTCATATCTAGTCAATCAGTCATTTTGGTGGGAGAAGAAAAGTAGATTTTTTTTCAAATAAAGGATTTTATTTCTCAGTCACTCAGAATGTAGCACATTGTAGCAATTTTTTAATTATAAAAATGATGTATCATATAAGAGACAACAGTAAGTGACTTCAATAAAATACCTAATTAGGTTGCATCAATTATTGATGCATGAAGTAAAAAATAATTAACCAAAACTCCACAATGTCAGTATGGAAAGAAAATCCCACTTGAATAGGTATATTTTACAAAGTAAGTGTTAGCTATGGGATGGTGGGACTCTAATCACAGTACACTACTTTCCAGTGCCCCACTGTCACAGCATAAAAACAACATCAGCAATAATTAGTGAAGGAACAGATATAGGTTCTTGGGAGGATGGTCACCTTAGGGGAGGTAAAATAAAAATGCTGTATGAGGAAAGCAATATAAAACATCAAGTACTGGTAATTTAAGAAATGACAGCACATCACAATACTATAAATTTAGATTGAATACTGTGGCAGCATTTTCTACCTTTTATAGTACAAACCCACATCTGAAGACAGGATACTGGTGAGCAGAGGGATGGACACACTGCCAGCACCTGGCAGTCGTTCAGGCATGCACATGGTGTCTTTTGGGGGTGCCCATCTCTAGGGCTGGGCAGGGCTGTGGTATCATGTGCTGTGACAGCTTGTGGGACCAGAGGACTTAGGGGTGTGATTTTCTTTTCTCTTTCTTTCTTTTTTTGGCTGGCTCAGGCTGCCTTAAGGGCGGGTCTGGTTTGGCTTGTGGGGCTAAGGATTGAACTGCGGTACTCTGCAGGCGCTTTAGACAACTGAGCTAACTAGCAGGCCCAAGAGGTGTGATTTTCATTGTGTACTTTTTCACACTTTTGAAAACCAGGTTTTATGGTTTAGATCTAAAATGGCCTCCAAAGCCTAGCATTTAAAAAGTGATTAAATTGGGGAGGTCACATGCTGACTAATTGTTAGGAGATGAGGTCAAGTTAGAGGAGACAGTCACTGTGGGCATGGCTCTGAAGGGTGCATCGCCCTCCTCAGCTCCTCCATTCTGTTTCCTGTCCTCCATGCATCTGTGCCATTATGTTCTGCTTACTGGGAGCCAAAATAAATCTCTCCTTCCTTACACTATAGGTATTGAATATTGTGTCTCAGCAACAAAAAAAGTAAGACACTATGTGAATGCATTTGTGTGTGTGTGTGTGTGTGTGTGTGTGTGTGTGTGAGAGAGAGAGAGAGAGAGAGAGAGAGAGAGAGAGAGGAGAGAGAGAGCGTGTGCAAGTGTGAGTGTACTGTATAAGCGCTTCGCTTAGGATGAAACACTGGGTCACGGCTGAGCACCTTTAGAAAGCCTTGCTGTGGCTCCAGAGGCAGCAGAGCAGGGAGCACTGTTTCCCAAGTCTTTCTATGCAACCTGTTCACCTGGATACATGCATCCCTGTGTTTACAAATTTTAAAGTAATGGGGAAAAAAAATGAAAACAGAACAACAATAACAACAAAACAAACAAAAACAAAAAAAAGAAAAACTGTAGCTTAGAACAGTTAAATCATAAGGTAGACCACTATTTTTTTTTTATAATTATATTTTTTAACATTTATTTATTTATTTATTTTGTGTGTGTGTGTGTGTGTGTGTGTGTGTGTGTGTGTGTGTGTGACCAGCTCAGCCCACCAGGGGGCGAGGCTGGCTGGCATGTGGTGCTGGGGGATCAAACCGTGGTCCCTGTGCTTTGCCAAGCTTGTTCCAAGTAGGTGCTTTAGACCACTGAGTCATCTCGCCAGCCCCTAGACCACTATTAAATGGTGAAAAGATATTATTTCAACACCCTTACTGTGCAGTATCTAGGATGGCAGGTACAGAAACTATAGTGGTGCAGAAACTATAGGTGTATGAATCAACAGAAGAGAAATCTTATTAATGACAAGTTTTTTGTAAGTAGTAATAATATTTTGTGATACTAGTCTTTTTTAAAAATGTATTTAGTACAGGGTCTCCAGGGTCTCACTACACAGATTGGACTCATAGTGAGTCTCCTGTTTTCAGCCTCCCAAGTGCTGGCATTAGAGGTGTGCCACCACGCCCAGTCTCAATCACCATCTCAGTGCACATGGGGGGTGGGGCTGGCACAGCGCAACAGGGATCGAACCCTGGTCCCTGTGTCTGCCTAGGTAGGTGCTTTAATCTGCTGAGCTATCTGGCTGGCCCTATGATATTAGTCTTTATTAAACATTTAAAATAATATGAAGAGTGACTATGCAGCATTAGAAAAACAGTGACATTTAGAAAAGGTCCTTTTATAGGAAGTTAAGGCAGAAATAAGCTAGCACATATGCGTAAAACAGAAAACTAAAAAATACGGTATCATCTTATAAAACTTTCATATACTTTGTTCTTTGGCAGAACCGGGGATTGAACTCAGGCCCTTGCGCTTGCCAGGGAAGCACTTATTCCACTGAGCCATCTCCCCAGCCCCTTTCATACACTTTGTGACCCTTAATTGAGATATGCCAAGTTGATTAATTAAGAAACACCCAGAGAATGAATAAAGCACATTTCTGGCTGTGTCTGGGTAGAGGCCTGGCCTTGGGATCTATGTCTGGCTCTCCTTCCTCTTTGGTCTGTCACTCTGCTCTGCTTCCTGGCAACCTTGAACTACATATCTTTGCTTTGTTGTGCTGTCCACCATGATGTTCCTGCTTTGGGCCAGCCAACCTTGGACTGAGTTTCCTGAAATCACCAGCCAAAGTACACTTGTTCTCCTTTAAGTTGCAGAGGTTGGTGATTTGTGTCTCAGCAATGGGAAAGCTGACTGACACAACACATAAGTAAGGAGTACACAGAAGAAAATGGGATACACAAACTATTCGGGATGTCACTTCACATCATGCTTGCATTGTTTGATTTGACTTTTATTAACATAAAACAAAAGTGTTGGACAACTACATCCAATATATGGATTTTCTTTTTTTTTTTTGCGGTACCAGGGATTGAACTCAGGACCTTGCACTTGCCAGGCAAGCCAATATATATATTTTTTGAGATAAGGTCTTAACTGTGTAGTCCAGGCTGACCTCAAACTTGCAGCAATTGTTTTGCCTCAGCCTCCCAAGTGATAGGATTATAGGTATGTACCACCATGCCTGGCCAACTATGTCCAGTTTTATATCAGTGAGGATGAAGACAAAGGGAAGATCTTGGAGCTGGAAGCCCATACCCTCCTCCT